AATCTTTAACACAAACAACCCCATCATATCTACATTAAGGCTCAAACTATAAATGGGAAATGAACACAATACAGTATTGCTTTAGGCCTGAGCATTATATTATGTACATCAGCCTGCTTGATTTTTGCATAAAGCATAATGATATTGAGGAGTGGTAAACTATGGAGAATGATTGGGATTTTAATAAAAAAATTACAAGCTTTTTGCCTTAAATAGTTTCAGTTATAAACAGCTTTGTTAGAGAATATGCTCCTCTTATCTAGTTTTTTACATATCTTTAAGCCCACTTTTAGAATCAAGTCAGTCACTTGTAGCAGAAGGTAAGACAATGTGTTGCTTAATTAAGAAATGATATATATGGAAAAAAGTGATGAGCCAGAATATTTCTGCATACAGGTCAACCAGTCCTCTAACTAACCCAAGCATCTCAGTGCAGTTATAAGATACTGCTATGTAATAGATGACATACCTACCCATTATTACACATTTTTAGCAAATGTTGGAAATTGTTACAACTTTTCTAACAATTTATTTACAAATTTATATATATATTTAAGTCAAAAATCCAACTAAATATAAAGCAAAAATAAATACAAAAGATTGTTCTAGGGAAATGACTCAAAAGAGCTGTAAACTCTATTGCACAACCTAAGAAGTCATTGTTTGGAAAGTCCTGAGCTAATATGCTATCACTAAACAATTCAGGCACTTTTTTCCCCCCCTTTTTTTTTTATTATGTAAGCAATAAACTTTTCAACATATAAACCTCTGGTTATAACAACTCAAGTTCTATTCATAAAATCATGCTTAGAGAAAAAGTATTCAATAAATAAGACTCCCTTCAATTTTTCTTTTTTGGGACTTGTTTGCAAAAAGAACCAAAGGTACCATACTAAACTTTTCAATTGAATACTGTAATTTAAAAGCAATTATTAAAACTGTAAAAAAGTTCTGCAGCATGCCACTACTGAAAAATAGTTATTTTATCGAGACAGTTACAGTGTTAGTTCATTTCTCCCATTTTAATTCCTGACAAAGTTGTCAAAAAACAAACCGATGCTCCCTTGCCGTGTTATTGTATGTCTCCACTTATCACAGTTCAGGTTTCTGTGGCAATGCCTGACTGTTCCTATTAAGAGGAAAAAATCGTTACTTCTAGGTCACAACAGCCTCTATTGGCTCATATTTTTATTATTTTAATTTTCACTATATGGTATGCAATAACGCACAAGACTTCTTACTAAAGCAGCCACGCTGCTATAAAGAATAAGTAATCAGCTTTGCAAAATTTTACTTGCCAAGGACAAAATATTTTAAACAGGTAATACTGTAGGATTTTTTAGTCATTTAGTATCATAGCAAAGAGTAGGTGAGTATGAATTGTGCCTGGACTGGTACATTTTCATGTCAATTTTGCAAGGCTAAAGTAAATCATACAATGTATGCCAACTTTTCCAAAGTCAGCAGAAGCTCCGCATCTCTGAAAAGCAGGGAACTTATTTATTTACCTTTAAGTGCTTACCAAGTTTGAAAATTCTGGCCAAATAACGTAAATATATACTAAACGGTCAAACTTTGGGACCAGAAAAAATACTAGTACATTAGAGTACAAACACTTAAATCTGTTCTTTTATTCACTCATAGCTAGGTTGTGAACCAGACATGCCAAACCCACGAAAAAACAAACAAACAGAAATTGGGCTTGTTTTTGGCTTAATTGGCTTGTGAGAGTTGACTGTTGGCTAGTTTTTGGCTTGTAGCTTCTTTTTTTTTATTGGCTCCCGGCAAGCAGGGGCAAGGGGGGGGGAGGGGTGCACAGCGGGCCCACCACAGTCCCAGACTGCACGCCGGGGGGATCTAGTCACATAGAGTGTTGGGGTTCTTAGGGATTGGCTTGTTTTGGCCTTGTTTTGAAATGGGATTAGCTTGATTTTTGTCTTACTGTGAAAGTCGGGATGCTTATTTACCATGTGAAAGTTGGCAACTGTGTTGTGAACCCCTTCATCATATTGATGAGAAGTTACTCAAGCAGCACCATTAATATCAGTTGGACTACTTGTGTGAATAACTGCACACCAGTGCAGGCAGGGAGTTTGCAGTTTACCCCTTAGAAGGCACATGGGTCATGCAAAAGCAGCAGTTTTAATACACTAATTAGAAAGGAGCACTCTTAAAACCTGCAAAGTACCTATTCTAGCAAATCAAAGTTTGTTAACACACTATGTACTGAAAATACTTTGACTAATATGGTGAATAAACAGTCATTTTATAGTTTTGAATGTGTAGATTAATATTTAAGATGAGTTTTGGCTGACACGGAATAGCACAATTATAGTTTATAAAGGGTTCATACATGTTTATAACAATCTCTAATATGCTTATCTTTTAAGTAACTTCTTGACTTGCTAGACTTGAAAACAAACTGTTTGTTTATTAAAGTCATTTATTATAAAATGTGACTGAGAATTTGTTTCAGGTAGAAGCTTTTGGAAAAATAGTTTAGATTAAAAAACTTAAAATTGTTTACTTTGAACATCAAAGTATAATTTAAGTGGGGACATTCAATTCTTTTTAAAAAAATCAACTTTCAGCAAGAAACACGATAGATTAGCACTTTTAAAAAAAATCCATATAAATCATACCAATTGTAACCCATTTTAACAAATATCAACTATTTAACAAGTTTACTATGTGGGTAGAAATACATGAATTACTGAAACGTAAGAACACGTTGCCATGATGAGGCTTTCTAAACTGCTAGTTGCACACAGGAAAAAAGGCCACATTATACATATTAATACAGGATTTATTTTACTGTAACTGGGAGGTATTAGATTTCTTCATTTGTTATAAAATTAATATTTAAAAAAGCCTAATTATACTGATCAACAATTCATGCTGTAATCTTTGGCAGCCAGATTTTAAGATTATTTTAATGAATTTTAAACAAGAATTTCTAGCATCGAATTATAAAATAGCAATAGGAAATTTACGTGGCAGTGACATCTGTTTGCTGATTATAGTGAAGAAATTGTACATTTGTATTATAATACAAGTTTATAATTCCGAATGATTCTGTATTCTGAAAATTGATCTTTCAGTCATTTTCTTTTTCCATCTAGCAAGCATGGGTATTTATCAGAGGTCTTAGAAAGGAATGGTCAGGACTGTCATTGTTTAGTGATGTGAGAAGCACGCCCTGTTCCCTCAAGAGTAGTAGTATACGGCCTTTGCAGTGTTCTCAGACTTTATCTACATCACTAGTCTAACCATGCCAAAAACATCTGTCCGGCATGTTTAACAATTTGTAATATGGATTAGACCCCATGGTTATAAAACAAGAAAGGAAGATACATTTTAGATTATGCTGAGACAATTCAAATAGGGGGTTTATGATGCTATACTAATATTGAGGTACCCTATTTGTTACTGAGCCTTACACTATTCATGACTCCTGACATGATTCTATAAACTGTAACATGATACTCCATCAGGTGCTATAACAGTGTTGTCCTGTGCACCCTACGAAGTTATTACAACATGGATACTCCTAACTGTGTTAAACTGTGCCCTGTCAATGTTACACTAATACTGATGGGAGATCCTACCAGTTCAGGGTACCCCAAAAATTCTTCATGAATTACTACTGCTGTAGCACGACTTTGCAGAGTGCTACCACTCATTTGAGTATTTTAAAAACAGAAGTTGCACAATTAAGCAAGCTTATATACAAACAGGAAAATATTTTAGATACCCAATTTAAGAACATAAGAATGGCCATACTGGGTCAGACCAATGGTCCATCTAGCCCAGTACCCTGTCTTCCAACAGTGGCTGGTGCCAGATGCATCGGAGGTAGTGAACAGAACAGGGCAATTTCTTGAGTGATTCACCCCATCATCCAGTCCCAGTTTCTAGCATTGAGGGGGGGGTTCAGTCTGCCTTTTATGCACAAGGATTGCCTGTAATAGATCTCAGTGCAACTAAGGATGTAAACGTGAACATGCATTGTTCTGTACGCTGCTTGTAAATATAGCACTCCAACATGTATGAATTAGATGGTTTATAAGGTGAATATTTGGCTTGGATCCTTAGGTAATGTACTGAAAAAGAGCACATATTCATACAATAGAATTTAGTTAACCAATTGTTTGAAAGGACACACAAAACAGTCTTCGACCAGCTTCCCACTTACAGATGGAAAATTAGCTTAGTTGAGCTGCAGAAAGGATTGCCCAAACTGAGATTTCAAAAGAGAGGCAATGTCAGAGGCCATAGCTGACCTACAGCTAACCAAAAGTCTCAGGGTATGTCTACACTTACTGTGAATCGATGCTGCAGTGATCACTCCACTGGGGGGTCGATTTAGCGGGTCTAATGAAGACCCGCTAAAATCGATCAAAGATCGCTGTCCCATCAACTCCAGTACTCCACCAGAACGAGAAGCATAAGGTAAGTCGACAGGAGAGTTTCTCCCATCGACCCACCGTGGTGTAGACACTGCAATAAGTTGACCTAAGAGATATGTAGACTCCAGCTACGTCATTCACGTAGCTGGAGTTGCGTAACTTAGGTCGACTTACCCCCATAACGTAGACCTGCCCTCAGTTACCAAGTTTTTTGGATTAGGGGGAGGAGGGGAAGAATGTCATTTTAGTACTCCAAAGAATATCCATACAAGCTAGACAAACAACTCCAAGTGGATTCTGAAATAGGAGTGGATACTCACATTTTATATATCAAAAAAAAGTTTAGAGAAAATTAATTTTAATCCAACTCACCTTTTCTTTCCTCAAAACTCCTTCTCTGAATTTATAAGTGGTAAATCCCCTTACACCAGCAGAACGTAGCCGCTGGTACTTAGCCTGAATATATAAACCCTTCTGTACTAAGCCTGATTTATAACTGTGTTGCAATCGACCATCTGTAAAGTTGTTCTGTAGAGGGGAAAAAAAGAAAAAATGGACAAAATGATCGAATTTCGGAACTCTGGTCAAAAAGGCCTTTTGTATTTTATTGTATTCAACTCTTTTAAAGTTACAATTACACAATTATACACACACAAAAACTTACAGTACTGAAGTATTATTCATTTATAAATGCATATGCCTCTTCTTTGCCTCCTATTAAATACTTCCCAGACCCGTACTCACTGTTCATATCACAGAACTGCAGTGTCGCACATACTGGGCAACAGTCCAAAGTAGCTCAAGTTATCTGCATAGAACAGGTTTTGATATCAAAATTATGAGCACTGAAGAGGTTGTATAATGTGGGCAACAAATGAGGTGGAAGGGGAGAGACAAGCTCCTTTTTGGGGTGTGTGTGAGCATCTCTCTATATAAACAGCTGTTCTAATAAGTAAACTTCAAGAGTAAAATCCTGGCCTGATTAACTCAATGGCAACCCACTGACTTTAAAGGACCCAGGATTGCATCCAAGAGCTGTCTCTGGTTCATATGTTGAATGTAAAATATCAAATTTACCTGGAATCACTTCAGTCTTTAAAACCATAGGAAGAACACCTAGCCACAGAGCTATGCTTCCTTCACCTCTATATTGGGCTACTGTAAACTCACTTGAAGTAGAACTGAGGGAGAAGGCCACAGAGAAACAGAAATAGAAAGTCAATGGCACTATAAATACTAGAGTGGACAGACAACATATGTAGTGGGAGCAGCAGTGTCCACTATAATTAAGTTTGTGTTATGTTTTCCATTCACAGGCACTCAGATGCCACACAAAAGGGTGCAGTATAAGAATAATATAAAAAATTCCAACCTCATTTATTATAGTTTCTCAGATTGTTTTTGAACATTTTGTTTGAAGTTTTCAAACTTGGTCTTGACAGAAGGTGATTTTTTTTTTAAGGAGTTTTAATAAAAAATTGTTAAATCTGCTTTTGAATACAAGGAGAATGCAAGAGGGAGAGCAGAAACCTTCCCCATGTAAAAGTCTTGTAACTTTTCATGAACAACTTTAACTGCTAGAAGAAGAAAGCTGAAATTTGTCATGAAAATAGCCCTCACTGAAAAGTGCTTTTGAGTGTTCTGGTAACATTCCGTATCAATCTGACAGAGTTGGGGGGAAAAAATCACGTGCTTCACATACGCAATATATTTTGTACCAGTTTTTCAGTAAACTTGCAATGTGCAGCTAAAAAAGGCTTGCACAAGGGAGGAGCTCATTTATACAAATTCCTAGAAGCCTTTTTCTATTTCAAAGACCCTGTATCCATCCATGATATACTGAGAAAGCTGCATTTACCAGGAAAGATGAACACGTCAGCGACCATGGTGAAGCTTATTGGAGTTGGAGGCACAGGATTCATGGCAGATAGCTGCCAAATGCTCAACTTCTCACAGGAGATCAGAATAAGTCCAAACCTGACTGTTCTCAGGATACAATAAATACAATACCATCCTTTATGCAAATATATTGTCACAATAGGGGAAACTGAAATGTTTTTAAAATTCTAAATTAAGCCCGTGAACCTTGGCAAGGTAAAAACCAAGATTCCCCCTAAACTATGTGAATGGGCAGCCTGTGCCCCAATTGACAGGCATCTTGCATTGAGCAGGGGAGTTCTTCCACCAGGAGGCATCTGCCTCCTACCATGAGAGGAGGCCCCAAGGCTTTCCAACAGCCATCACTACTGTTTCCAGCTTGGGAGAAAGCTACTGAGCTTCCCTCTCCTTCCACACCTTCTGGTCTTCATCCTAGCAGGAGTGGTTAGGAAGATGGTTCCAAGGCTATGCCCCTGCATGTCTCTCTCTATGGAAATAAGCAAATAACGGATAGACAGAGTAAGAGGAAGGAATGGGAGTGGAGCTGCTGCTGTCATAGGTTCTACGTCTGAACTAAGGCAATCATTTGATCCACACAAAAGTGGAGAAAAAAAAACCAAAAAGACAACACTGATGAAGAATATAGTCAATTGTAGATAAACCTAACCAGAAGCTTAATTATATATTTGGCAACAAGGCACTGTGATGGTAGACACATTAGAAATACCAAAAATGGATAGTAATGTGTTTAGATCCTACCTACCACTATGTTCAGTATCAAATTCCACAAAACCAAAGTGTAGCTTACTCCAAATTACTAACACTCTTCAAAGACAAATTTATGCAATTTAAACAGATTCTGCTACAAAATTACTCCACTGCTCCAAGTTATTTGGAAAATCTTAAGATGTTTCAGTTTGAAACATGAAACAATCTAAGGTTCTAAATTTCATTTAATAATCAATGTAAAACTACTTTACAAAGATTGCTAATATTGTTTGTTTCTGAAACCATCACTTCAAAAATGAAGTAACATTGCTTTTCAAAATATTTTATTTTTAAAAGCAGAGACTATATACCAAATAATATAAACATCTAAGCTATCCCACCATACAACCATGACTGTAGAACATGAATAGTTAATGAAATCATCAGAATTCCAGGATAATGATTTTATTTAAATGATAAACATACCAAGTGGGTTTACTGATTGCCCTCATCCCTTGGGTGCATTGTGAATCACTAAGTCAAAGGAAGAGCTTTTTAAACCTAAAAATTTTGGGTATCCCTTTATAAAACTGCTCCTCTAGAGTGTGTTACTCTTTTCATATAGAAGTTAACACACACCACAGACAACCAATTTTGAAGTATTCTGAACAAAACACTTCTGTTTAGTGACTCAACAGAACTTGTTTCATACATAAGGGAAAAGAGATTTGCCTAAGTCTTTTGGTTAATAAAGATATATTAACATTAGAAAGCAGTCAAACTACCATCTCAGGTATATTGAATGCAATCCACCTTCAACAACATAAGAAAAAAATTATATGCAATACAAGAGAAAATTCAATACAAAAAACAAGTTGATGAAATTTTAGATTAGGAATTTTAAGTCAATAAATCAATATCATTTTTCCCATACCAAAACATAGTGCTGCTGCATATGCTGTTTACCCGTAGTTATACTGAAGGACAAGGGAAGATATTATTGGCTGCAGCACAGGGGTGGACAGCACAAGTTGCGTGCATGAATGCAACAGTGGCTTAAAGCTCACCTTTACGTTCCCCCAATCCTACACAGAATTCCAAGTTGACATGAATTAAGCCAGACTTCAGGCTGCTTTAAGTTACATCAAGTGCCAACAGACCAAAGGGTTGATATGGCAGGCAGGGATCAGCCTGGTATAACAGAACCATCTACTTCCCCTGTGCTAGTAATAGACGGGAGGTGGTGACACAGGTGCCATTATGGTAAGGTGTACACCAAAGGATCCCAAAATAATATTCTATGTAATGTAATTTTAGTGTAAGATGACTTTAACCTGTAAACTAAAGTAATACCTAAAAAAAGACTAATTTTATAACACTATGAACTTTATCTTGAGGAAAGTTTGTTTTTCTTTTAATCTGGTGGGACTGGTTGGCTAAGTGCATTTAATAATAGGCTACAGAGCAAGACATCACTAGCCAGGATGGGAGAGCCTGAAAGTCATTTCTATCTAATGGTTCCATTGTTTTAAGTATAGTTAAGAATCAGGAAGTCTGAAATTTGAATTTAGGCTTTGATGCCAACTACCCGTATATACTTGGTCATAATAATTCTGCCTCAATTTCCCTATCTGTAAAATGAGGATAATGCCTACCTACCTTACACAAGTTTTAAAAAAGAAAAAAAATCCTTGCAGCAACCTTGTAAAATATCAAGCATTATTCGGTGGCTTATCTGAAATGTGTTCTGTGGAAGAGGTGGATTAACAGTGGTCACATCTCTCCACCATTCACGTGGCTCATGGAGAAAAGGGATATTCTGGACCATGAGTCAGTGACCTAATTGCCTTATACCAAGGCCACTTTTAAATGAAAAACTAGAAGAGGTTGACCCAGATTTGATCAGCGTTTTCCCATTATGAATGGACCTAATTGGGCCCACGCACAGCATGCCACTCACAACAGGAAGGAAGAGATAACAAGTAATCTTTGTTTTACATTTAATTGACTTTGACCCTAGGGTGCCTTTTACAGTCAAGACACATTGGGAAGCCAATGCAGTACCCCAGAATCGGGTGATTTTGCTGACTCTCTTACATCTTGGGGTTTCTGTTAGGGTGACCAGATGTCCTGATTTTATAAGGACAGCCCCAATTTTGGGGGCTTTTTCTTATATAGGCACCTATTAAACCCCATTCCCTGTCCCGATTTTTCACACTTGCTGTCTGGCCACCCTAGTTCCTGTAAACAAAACCTAAAAGCAATACTTATCCGATAGAATAATGAGAAAATATAAAAACATAAAAAGATTACTGTTTGGGAGTCATCATATAGATTTAAGGCAATTTTACATGAAAAATGCAAACAAAATGCAGTAGAAGTGCAACTAAAAAAGATGATGTTTTCTCTTAAACGTGGAAAATACTCTGAATCTCTCATGTAGTGTTATGACAACTACAACATTCCACCACGCTTAATTTAAAAAAAAAAATTAGTGGAACAGTATTCAAAAAAATAATGAAGTTAGGAGTGAATATATTCATATAAGGTGTTTCCTCATAGGCAGATTTGACAGAATTTGATTTCTGTTTTTTTAAAATAAATTTTGACTGATAGTAATGTTTAAGCTTTTTCCCCCCCCAATTATCTATTTAAATTTTCACAGTTGTGGGAAGTTATGGAGAGGGTCAGGCAATAGTTATTTAATGACAGTAGATGGTGATTCAAAAAGTTAAAGCTTTATAACTGTTGAAACACAAAATTGTCAACTTCACATGTCAAAAAAATACAAAGTAAGTATCCTTAAATCAAATTCTGAAGCAGTATTTCTCTTACTTTGCCTATCTGTGAATGTCTATTATGGATAGAAATATTTTTGTTGGTTTTTGTGTGTATGGTGAAATCAATGTTTACCAACATTTACTGATTAAAAACCCTAATGTCTTTCCAAGTCTATTTATTGGCCAGATGTTTTAGTAATCTCCCATTTTTTCTGCAATTTTGATTCTAAAATTGATTTTTAAGGGTTTTTTTCCTCTTCTATTGTCCAACACTAGCCCCATGATCTTGCCACTCCCTCCTTCCTTGCCCAACTCTCCTTTCAACCTTACTGTTTTGCCATTCTGTTTGCCCTCTCCCTTAATGTTATTTAAAATTACACCCTGAGAAAGTCAGCTCTCTTACCTACCTGGGAGAGTCCAAATTCTAGTAACTTAGTCTTTCAAAATATGATAGCACTCCAGCTGTTACAGGAGGGCTTGGGGGCAGGGGAAGGGAAAGGAGTGGAATTTTCAAACATTCCTACTGAAGTCAAGGCAAGCCCCCATTATTTCAATGGGAACAAAGTTCAGCCAATGCTGACCATTTTTGAAAATCTCACCACTAACATGTCTGTTTAGTGCAACATGCCTAAATCACAACACCACAGCCTGAAATGAAACCTTATGCAACACATACACTTGGCAAGAGTCAAACAATACCTTAAAGGGTCTTCTGAAGGGTCTTGGATTTTCCAGGTGTCCTCCAAATGGTCTGTGAGTAAAGATGTCATTTGTTTTTGCAGCATAATAAGAATTCTAGAAAAATGGCACAGATACTAGTTTAACAATGTTAAAAACAATCATTTCAATGAAACATGGACAATGTTTAGATGAAGCTAATTTGTACTGTACTTTTTTGGCCTAAGATTATAACTGTGATGGATTAAGTCAGTGAAATTGCGTTGCCCATTAAACTGGAGTCCAAGTTGCAGAGACTTATTTCAGTTCCCACAGCTGAAAAGACATAGGGCACCACTCCAGAATATGGCCCCTTTGGACTGTAAAGCAGCCAGATCTTTCCAATTGAGGATTACCCTGGTGTGGGGCAGAGAGCCATCAGCTGGCACAGACCCAACATAGCAGCTATACCAACCCCTCTTTGAGGGGGAACAGGGGGGGGGAGGGGGGAAGAGAAGAGGAACAGGAGTGACGCAACCAGATCTTTGGTGATCCCTGGCTGGCAAATGGGATTACTATTTTTTTTCAGACTCATTACCAGTCAGACATTATGACATTAAAGCAGCCATATGTATTTCTAGCGTACTCATTACTGTAATACCCATGCACTGAATACCACCTTAAGAACTGCGTTAGATTTGTTCGTAAGGATGACTACTCTTCATCCTTTCTTGATTGTGGCACGTATCAATACGAGAGGCTCATCTACCGCAGAGACATGCACCATTTCAGAAGCAAGTGACACAACTAAGTGTTGTTGGAATTGTTTGTAACTGCAACTGTTGAGTGTGTGCGCATTAAGCAGCCTTAGTTATGTAGAACAGTGCAGTGCCTCCATACGCAGCAATCCTTCCCACCGCTGCTTTACCTGTGCATTGTGACCCTTTTCCCATAGTTTCTAGCACAGCTGCCAGGAGCTGGTACATTTTTTAACATATATGACATGTATTATGTTATTTTCATATATAAATCTATCTTCCAGATGCATGTAAAATATAAATACAAATATAAAAGTGTTATAGAAATTGTTTCATGTAGGCAGAGCTTAAATGATGCTAAGTTCTTCTTTTATCAACTGAAAATTGATATAATTTTTAATGCTTCTTTTAATTATAAATCATTAATACATTAAAAAGTTTTGAATTTGTTGGGACTACTATTTTCTTCAAACATAAATATCAATTTTTGGATCTTTGAAACAGTTATGGGGGTATACAGAGGTCTTCCTAGGAATACATCAACATATGTATATATTTGTCTAGTTTTACAACCGGTTAGATAAAAAACACTGGCAAAGTCAGTACAAACTAAAATTTCATAAAGACAATGACTTGTTTATACTGCACACTGAAATATAAACACAATATTTATATGCCAATTGATTTATTTTATAATTATATGGTTAAAATGAAAAAGCAAGCAATTTTTCAGTAATAGTGTGCTATGATATAAGAATGGCCATACTGGGTCAGACCTAAGGTCCGTCTAGCCCAGTATCCGGTCTTCCAACAGTGGCCAGTGCCAGGTGCCCCAGAGGGAATGAACAGAACAGGTAATCATCAAGTGATCCATCCCTTGTCGCCCACTCCCAGCTTCTGGCAAACAGAGGCTAGGGACACCATCCCTGCCCATCCTGGCTAATAGCCCTTGACAGACCTATCCTCCATGATAGCTCAGTGGTTTGAGCATTGGCCTGCTAAACCCAGGATTGGGAGTTCAATCCTTGACGGGGCCATTCAGGGATTGGGGCAAAAATCTGGGATTGGCCCTGCTCTGAGCAGGGGGTTGGACTAGATGATCTCCTGCGGTCCCTTCCAACCCTGATATTCTATCTAGTTCTTTTTTGAACCCTGTTATAGTCTTGGCCTTCACAACATCCTCTGACAAGGAGTTCCACAGGTTGACTGTGCATTGTGTGAAAAAATACCTCCTTTTGTTCATTTTAAATTTGCTGCCTATTAATATCATTTGCTGACCCCTCATTCTTGTGTTACGAGAAGGAGTAAATAATACTTCCTTATTTACTTTCTGCACACCAGTCATGATTTTATAGACCTCTATCATATCCCCCCCACTACCTCCCCATGTCGTCTCTTTTCCAAGCTGAAAAGTCCCAGTCTTATTAATCTCTCCTCATATGGCAGCAGTTCCATACCCCTAATCATTTTTGTTGCCCTTTTCTGAAACTTCTCCAATTCCAATATATCTTTTTTGAGATGGGGCAACCACATCTGCACGCAGTATTCAAGAAATGGGCATACCATGGATTTATATACAGGCAATATGATATTTTCTGTTTTATTATCTATCCCTTTCCTAATGATTCCCAAGATTCTGTTCACTTTTTTGACTGCCGCTGCATATTGAATGGATGTTTTCAGAGAACTATCCACAATGACTCCAAGATCTCTTTCTTGAATGGTAACAGCTAATTTAGACCCCATCATTTTATATGTATAGTTGGGATTATGTTTTCCAATGTGCAGTACTTTGCATTTATCAACACTGTATTCCAACTGCCATTTTGTTGCTCAGTCACCCAGTTTTGTGAGATCCTTTTGTAGCTCTTTGCAGTCTCCTTGGGACTTAACTATTTTGAGTAGTTTTGTCTCATCTGCAAATTTTGCCACCTTGTTTACCCCTTTTCCCAGAACATTTAAGAATATGTTGAATAGGACTGGTCCCAGTACAGACCCCTGGGGGACACCACTATTTACCGCTATCCACTCTGAAAACTGACCATTTATTTTTACCCTTTGTTTCCTATCTTTTAACCACTTACCAATCCATGAGAGGACCTTCCCATGATAAAATCACAAAACAGCTTATTTGGCTTAAGAGCCTTTGGTGAGGGACCTTGTCAAAGGCTTTCTGAAAATCTGAATATTTTTACACTTCATTTGCCAGAGTTTATGCTCCTTTCTATTTTCCTCACTAGAATTTTAACTTCCACTTTTTAAAGGATGCCTTTTTCATCTTTCACTGCTTCTTTTACTTTGTTGTTTAGCCACGGGGGCACTTTTTTGATTCTCTTACTATGTTTTTTAATTTGGGGTGTATATTTAAGTTGAGCCTCTATTATGGTGTCTTTAAAAAGTTTCCATGAAGCTTGCAAGGATTTCACTTTTGGCAGTGTACCTTTTAATTTCTGTTTAACTAACTTGCTCATTTTTGTGTAGTCCCCCTTTCTGAAATTAAATGCTACAGTGTTGTGCTGCTGTGGGGTTTCCCTGCTGCTGTGGGGTTTCCCTTGATTTAGTCCTAAGTGCAGCACAGGATCTGGTCCAAGAGGTGAATATATCTCGACTGCTTGGTAATAGTGACAGATCCTGTGCTCCACTTAGGACTAAATCAAGAATTGCCTCTCCTCTTGTGGGTTCCAGGACTAGCTGCTCCAAGAAGCAGTCATTTAAGGTGTCAAGACACTTTATCTCTGCATCCCGTCCTGAGGTGACATGTACCCAGTCAATACAGGGATAGTTGAAATCCCCCTTATTATTGAGTTTTTTTGTTTTTATAGCCTCTCTAATCTCACTGAGCATTTCACAGTCACTATCACCATCCTGGTCAGGTGGTCGGTAATATAGCCCTACTGCCATATTCTTATTATTTGAGCAGGGAATTACTATCCAGAGATTCTATGGTACAGTTTGGTTCATTTAAGGTTTTTACTTCATTTGATTCTATGCTTTCTTTCACATATAGTGCCACTCCCCCACCAACACGACCTGTTCTGTCCTTCTGCTATATTTTATACCCTGGTACTACGGTGTCCCATTGATTATCCTCATTCCACCACGTTTCTGTGATGCCTATTATATCAATATCCTCATTTAATACAAGACACTATAGTTCACCCATCTTATTATTTAGACTTCTTGCATTTGTATATAAATACTTTAAAAACTTGTCACTTTTTAGCATTTTGTCTGCCATTACATGATGTAATTGAATGGAACTCTTTCATTTGTCTGTTTCTCATCAGATCCTACCCATATTTTATCATCTTCCATTTTCTCCTCCTTACTAGGAAATAGAGAATCTCCATTAACAGATCCTCCCCCATGGGATGTCTCTGTCCGAACCACGTGCTCCTTTGCACCTGTCGGCTTTCCCGCAGCCCTTAAAATTAAAAAGGTCATAGAGCAGTGTGGCAAATTGCCGGCACTACTATGATGGGTCTAGTGCTTTCTCTTCTTGGGCGGGGGGGGGGGGGGG